TTCGGTACCGAATTAAGGAGAGTCGTACATGTGTTTATTACACGACCTGGCAAGGTTGAACATTCTCTCGTGTAACTAATTCTTATACGGGTTTATCACCAGGTTTTAAATACAGTTGATCTCATACATTCTATTTTGCCAAATTTTAATCCTTACTGTTATATTTTTTCATATCTTTATTAAATTAGGATTTATAGATTGTCATTCACCTTTGAGTTATGTACTTATATGGGATTCAACATTCGTGGTGTTTTATTGCAAAGGGAGCTAATAGTAGGAAGTCGGCTACTTATTTACAGGTGATTATACTCACGAAATCGTAATGACACGATCACTGGCTCAGTGGTTAGCGCTTTGGTCTGGAGTTTTATGACTCTGATCACGGGTTCTATTCCCGACCGTGGTATGGTTTATTTAGGTGATTTTACACCGAGGACAAACTTGCCTGTGACTTTGGAAACCTCTGAACAAATCTCACATATCCTATTATAACTGTATATCATAGCCCTGATGTAACTTAGGATTCTATCTTGTTTCTTTATCTTAACTTCATCCTACTGCAATGTAATCACTATGGCTTAACCTCAGGCTGGAATTAGGGGTTTCCATCTTTCACCAGCAGGCCACAAACAACAACCTGGTTGAACTGGCATTCAAAGAGCAAGGCCAGGCTAGCTAGAGTAGGAAAGCTCTCTTAATTGGTCACAGGTAGCATCTGTGGGCGAAAACGCCTTGATAATGAGAGGTCAGAGGATGGTTAGACAGGGTAAAGCTGACAATAACTCAAATAACCACGTGTTACAACAGTGGCATGCTTCCGTACCCCAGGTACCAATCAAACCCAGCCCCTTCCACTCATATATTTGTCCAATCTCTTTTTAAAAATAGGTTGGATAAATACGAGTGGGTGAGAGTTGGGCCTACTTTGCATGGGCCAGTAGGCCTGCTTCAGTGCTCCTTTTCTTATATTCACATTTTTTTTAAAGCTGCCCAAGGTCTTAGCCTCTATTACCCTCCTTGGAAGATTATTCTACACATCCACAACTCTGACAACCAATACTTACCCATGTCCTTTCTAAATCTAAATTTATCAAACTTAAAATCAGTTATTCCTGGTACTTTTTTGATTCGATAACCTCAGAATTTTTTTAATATCGCCTTAGTTTGTGCCCATCCACTTATATACCTCAATATCTCTCATTCTGTCTCTCAAGAGAGTGAAGATTCAAGGTTCTAAGTCTATCGTCATAGGGAAATTCCTTATACAGTAAGTCATCTTTGTCATCCTTCTCAGTATGTTCCCCAATGAATTTATATCCATTCTGTATCAGAGAGACCAAAACTGAGCAGCATAATCATATCCCTATATTCCTCAATAAATGGACAATTAAGCACATTGTATTCAAGAAGTGACTATAAGGATGACCACCTACTTTTCACTTTTTTTTTTTTTTGATCATCTGTCTCTGCCAGAAGTACTTGTAACCAGGCTTCTACGCTAGCCAGTCTGTTCACACTACAAGTTGCTCCGTAAAACGTACTATTCTACGTTCATGTAATCACTGATACGTAAGTTCAGGTTTATAACTGCATTCCTATTGCATTTGGTTTCATTTACTTATTTCCTATTATTATTTCTAATGTTAGGGGCAAGTGTAAGGAAATGTGATTCCACCCAAGCTGGGACTGAATCACAGACTGAGTCAAATGCTCTACCAACTGAGCAATGGGACTCCTGATGGATGATAGGTAATAAAACAGGCACACAGTACAGTACATGGGGCATTATGTTCATGGGGATGGGAGGCACTAAACTCTTAGGAATCATACTGTGCCTAGGGAAATAAGATGATCAGGTTTGATCCAAGGGAAGGGGAGATAGGTCAATTTCCTTCAAGAGCCCCTTACCATGACAACCCCTTGATCCCAAAGGATCTGGTAACCCCTTTATCCCATAGGGGTGTGGTGGCTAATTCCACAAAGGGTTTGGCAAACCTAGACTCCATAAAGGATCTGGTAGTCCCTTGATCCCATTATTGTAATAACCATAACTAAGCGCTAAACCCACATGGGTCATACAGTTCTGCCCTTCATCCCATTAAGGGTCTGGTAACCCCATATTCCCAAAAAAGGGTCTAGTAACCCCTTATTCCCATAAAGGGTCTGGTAACCCCTTATTCCCATAAAGGGTCTGGTAACCCCTTAATCCCATAAAGGGTCTGGTAACCCCATATTCCACATTTAAGTTGGAAAAATTCAGATTCTGGAAGGATATAGGAAAGTACTGGTTTGGTAATAGAGTTGTGGATGAGTGGAACAAACTCCCAAGTACAGTTATAGAGGCCAGAACGTTGTGTAGCTTTAAAAGTATGTTGGATATTAGATTAAAATATCTGATTGGTCAAAAGAGAGGCATATATAGGCAAATCAAAAGAGGAGAGGGGCAATTAAGAAATCGATATATTCAGTTAAAGAGAGAAATAAAAAAGGGAATTAGAAAAGCAAATAGAGATTATGAGGTTAAAGTTGCAAGAGAATCGAAGACTAACCCAAAAGGATTCTTTCAGGTATACAGAAGTAAGATCAGGGACAAGATAGGCCCACTCAAAAGTTCCTCGGGTCAGCTCACTGACAGTGATAGGAAATGTGTAAAATTTTTAACACATACTTCCTCTCATTTTTTAACAGGAGGATACCAGCGATTTTCCCAGTAATGATAAATTAGTAGAACAGGACGATAATAAACTGTGCCTATTAGGGTCACAAGTGACATGGTCCTTAGGAAAATAGAAAAATTAAAACCTAACAAATCCCAGGCCTGATGAACGTATGCAAGGGTTCTAAAGGAATGTAAAGAGGAGCTTAGCACACCTTTGCAAATTTTTCAACATATCACTACAAACTGGCATGGTGCCCGATAAGTGGGAAAATGGCAAATGTGATACCTATTTTCAAAACAGGTGACAGGTCCTTAGCTTCGAACTATAGACCAATAAGCCCAACCTCCATAGTGGGAAAATTTAGGAATCAATAATTGCCGAGGCAGTTCGTAGCCACCTTGAAAAGCATAAATTAATCAACGAATCTCAGCATGTTTTACAAAGGGCGTTTCCTGCCTTACAAATTTTTATTAACTTTTTTCACTAAGGTATTTGAGGAGGTAGATCATGGTAATGAATATGATATTGTGTATATGGACTTCAGTAAGGCTTTTGACAGGGTCCCACATCAGAGACTATTGGGGAAAAATTTAAAGCACATGGAATAGGAGGAGAAATTTTTTCCTGGATAGAGGCATGGTTACAAATAGGCAGCGAGAGTTTGCATAAATGGGGAGAAATCAGTGGGGAAGCGTCACGAAGCGTGTTCCACAGGGTCAGTGTTGGGCCCCTGCTGTTCACAATCTACATAAACGACATAGATGAGGGCATAAAGAGCGACATCGGCAGTTTGCCGATGACACCAAAATAGGCCGTCGAATTCATTCTGACGAGGACATTCGAGCACTCCAGGAAGATTTGAATAGACTGATGCAGTGTCGGAGAAGTGGCAGATGCAGTTTAATATAGACAAAATGCAAAGTTCTAAATGTTGGACAGGACAATAACCATGCCACATATAAACTAAATAATGTAGATCTTAATATTACGGATTGCGAAAAAGATTTAGGAGTTCTGGTTAGCAGTAATCTAAAACCCAAAGACAACAGTGCATAAGTGTTCGCAATAAAGCTAATAGAATCCTTGGCTTAAATATCAAGAAGCATAAATAATAGGAGTCCTCAGGTTGTTCTTCAACTCTATACATCCTTGGTTAGCCTCATTTAGATTATGCTGCACAGTTTTGGTCACGTATTACAGAATGGATATAAATTCTCTGGAAAATGACAAAGGAGGATGACAAAGATGATCCCATGTATCAGAAACCTTCCCTATGAGGATAGACTAAGGGCCCTGAAACTGCAACCTCTAGAAAGACGTAGAATTAGGGGGGATATGATTGAGGTTTATAAGTGGAAGACAGGAATAAATAAAGGGGATGTAAATAGTGTGCTGAAAATATTTTAGCCTAGACAGGACTCGCAGCAATGGTTTTAAGTTGGAAAAATTCAGATTCAGGAGGGATATAGGAAAGTACTGGTTTGGTAATAGAGTTGTGGATGAGTGGAACAAACTCCCAAGTACAGTTATAGAGGCCAGAACGTTGTGTAGCTTTAAAAATAGGTTGGATAAATACATGAGTAGATGTGGGTGGGTGTGAGTTGGACCTGATAGCTTGTGCTAACAGGTCGGTTGCCGTGTTCCTCCCTTAAGTCAATGTGACCTGACCTGACTAGGTTGGGTGCATTGGCTTAAGCCGGTAGGGACTTGGACCTGCCTCGCATGGGCCAGTAGGCCTTCTGCAGTGTTCCTTCGTTCTTATGTTCTTATGTTCTTATATTATTATTATTATAATCAAGGGAGAAGCGCTAAACCCGGGGGATTATACAGCGCCTGGGGGGGGGGGATGTGGAAGGCATTCAGGTGTAATTCGGGGAACTGGAGCACAGATTCAATTCCCTAAATCAAGAGCCCCACACCAACATCAAGGAACCTTCCTTGAGGGTAGTAGGTTGGACAAATACACGAGTGGATGTGGGTGGGTGAGAGTTGGACCTGATAGCTTGTGCTACCAGGTCGGTTGCTGTGTTCCTCCCTTAAGACAATGTGACCTGACCTGACTAGGTTGGGTGCAGTGGCTTAAGCTGGTAGGAGACTTGGACCTGCCTCGCATGGGCCAGTAGGCCTGCTGCAGTGTTCCTTCGTTCTTATGTAACCCCTTATTCCCATAAAGGGTCTGGTAACCCCATATTCCCATAAAGGGTCTGGTAACCTCATATTCCCATAAAGGGTCTAGTAACCCCATATTCCCATAAAGGGTCTAGTAATCCCTTATTCCCATAAAGGGTTTGATAACCCCTTAATCCCATAAAGGGGTTAAAATCAAATAAAAAACAAGGATTCGCAAAAACAGAAGTACTAATTTCCATGTATTGTCAATAAAGGGCACAAGTTTACACTTTTCACAAGAAATTTAATGGATGATGTACCCTACCAAAAGACTAGAAAGGAACGCACATACAGCTCTTAAAAATATGCCTACTCCCCAGAAATCATTACACAGAACACTGAAGATCTGTCTACACTGAGAGATCCAAATATTATCAAAGGATATCCCAAGTACAGTAAAAAAAAAAAAAAAGTAAAACAATGCAAAATCACAATGAACTTACGGTAAAAAAAAAGGTCATCTAACCCATGATATGTATGGAATGGTCGGTGTTCTGAGATCGGCACTGATACTAAGGATGCTAAAAACACTGGGCAAATGCCAGGGGAAAAAATGTCTCATAATTTGGAATGTATCACAGCATATTATTACATTCCTGGAAAGCACTAAACCCACAGGGGTCATACAGCACCTGTCAAAGCATGCTGTGTAACCAGAACCAATTGAGACATGTAAAATAAAAAAAAAATGTAATTAGCATCCGTTCATATCAGGAGAGCATGTTCTTACAGATGACAAACATATAAACAATAAGAATATGTATCTTCACTTTTTCAGTCACACTAAAATGGAAGTTGGAAATTATAACTGTATAAAAAGATTCAGAAAATATAAATTTTTGAAAGAAAAACAAGTATTTTGTACATGTACTAAATACAAAAATTATTTAAACTTATATTCAGTATTTCAGTTTCTCAGCATGCACACAAGCCTACATAGACAATCTGGCTGTTGGATCATACTTATCACAGCATCAAAGTCACTTTTTGTTTAAAATTTATTTTAACTAAAACAGGAATACAAAGGCTGATGATAATGGGATGAATTTGTTTTATTAAGCAAGCCTTTGACAGGCTTTTGTATCCCTCACCGACCAAAGTTGTGGGTCAAGACTGGCCATAATGACTGAGGAATGGTGATAAAAAATGTGAACGATCAATTAACTGATCAAATCAAACATAAATTATAAGAAATAAGGAGTGGAAGAACAAAAAAAAAAAATTAACAAAACTCTGTCCAGACAAGGCACACCAGCAGATCTCTCAACATCACGGCTGTATTTACAAGTTGATAAATTATCCCTATGGCATACTTAGGCAAACAGCTGGCCAATGAAGACCAGGTCTGGACAAAAGTCTCCTGTACACAACAACAAAAAATACAAATATTGCACACACACTTTAGGAAATAGTGAATTTGTATAATGCCAAACCTACACTTTAAACAGTCATCATAACCCAAGCCTCTTAAGTCCTGGACGAGGGATAGTGGTGCGGCTCTTTGACTGTTTGTTTTCTGCTGCCCAGGATTTGGACTTTCCTCGGAAGTGCTTCAAATCTTCGGCATGGTTGGCATCAAGCATTCTTACATAGTCATTAGGTGTACATAGCTCTGGATATTTTTCATAGAATGCCTTATAGCCACCCTCCAAAAGGTATATCTCAGGAAAATGCAAAGCAGGATAGTGTTCCTTATTTGCAGTGCGATCCATCTCCCTAAGTAACCGCTGAGCTTTAGGGCCCCGCTCAGCAGAAAATTCACAGTGGAAAATTAAAATCCGCCTTGGTGATTCCTCACTTGATATAACAGGCGCCCCTTTCCGTGCATTTAAGTTTTCCTCCACCATTTTTGGGTGGTGCCACATTTCTGCACCAATAATATGACCACCTTCAAACTCATAGGGATACCTGCAATCAATAATTCTATACGAGGCAACTTTACTACCATACTTTCCACTAACAACATCAGCCAGAGTATCTACACTGATGGTTTTCAGGTCGGGATGCTTAGCACCTTCAACAGTAGGAAGCACTATGGGTTTGGAAAAGTCGCCTATAAGATCTCCATCATGTCCAGCTGTTAAAAAAAAAAAAAAAAAAAAATTAAAAATTGTCAAGTGTATATATTTAAGAGTATAATTATATGTAATACCACACTGAAATCATGAAATCTTTGCTTAAAATCTTTAAGTTTGTGCCTCCGCCAAATAAAAAATGAGCTGTATATAACTTTCCTTTCACAATAACCCACAAATTTCTTACAAGCCAAATGCTCCTGTGTTAATGCACATGAATACCAGCAAATCAATCAATAAAAAAAAAAAAAATTCTAAGGAAAATTAAGTATGATTAGCCTGCTTTTTTTTTATTTTGGTCATTTCCTATTAAGGAAAGAATAAAAAAACATACCCTATCACTCATTCTGTCTTCCAAACATAACTCAAATAACCTACTGAATTACAACACCCTTATTCATCCTTCTCAGTACAGGCAATGAATGTACTTCCTACCTCCAGAACTCAAGCCAGCTACCCAACTGCCTTGGATTCTTTCACTTACATTGCCTTGCCCACACTCCAACAGCATGTAAAAACCCCAAGAATCATTCATCTCTACTCACTCTGGTCTCAGAGACTCATACATGACTGTGGGATGCTGTCTAACACTTAAACCTTCTTTGCACTCTTCTGCCAACCCTTCTTGAGATGTCCTTTCATTCACTCATATTTTACACCCCTATTGGTCAACCCATCTTGCTTGCTCCTTTTTTGAGTAAACCATCTCAATTACGACTCTGAATTTTTCCTTCCAGACTCCTTAACACTACCTAACTGTACCTTGTTTGGCCTTCATATTTAACTCATCTTCCACATACCCATCTCTTGACACCAACTTCCAATTACTTGAATACAATTACTTTTAACGAGAACTTGTAATAATTCTGAAGAAATTGGTCTTAACAATACTAATATACGTTTCATTGGTGTTAAATACTAAATTAAGGTGAGAAAAACTTGGATATATATATAGGGCCAACCTAATTATATTAATTTTATAATAGGTGAGACTGCTGAGTAATGGTGCAAAAAGACTATTTGCTTGACAGTGATCTTAACAATGCCTCTGGCCATCTTGCCTATCACCCCCATTAAAGCATCAGCACCACTATATTCTTACAAACATTTCATTTTTGGTCCTTTCTCTACCTTACTTCCATCATATATTCTTAGACAATAACTGCTGCCTAATAAATCTCTCTCACGAACTAGTGTCAACAACCTTATTAAAACCATTTTCTTGCAATGTGCACATTCAAACTCATGAAAGGATACCTATGCTAAATGTGAATTACTCAGCTTACCTGAATACCATCATAGATCTTACCACACTCCCACTTGTGTCCACTCACTCCATTCTAAGTTGCTCTCTCACTCTTAGTTTTCTCAACCAGCATCACCCAGCCTTAACATCCTTATCAAGTTATCTTGTTCCAACTCTTCAAAATGAAAAAAATGAACGACACCCTCCTTGAACTATAACCTTTCACATCACAAAATCTTCTGATTTCTTCACATTCTACATTCACAAACATTTAATACATAGTTCACAGGAGAGGTAGACTTAAAAGGTAAAGTTTTGAGAATGAAAAACAGATAATGGTTAAGCTATTCATCCTGTTGTGTTTTTCTTAAACTGTATTCTTTACTTACAGCATTTATTCAAGGCCTTCATAATGGAAACATGGCTCTCAGAGTGGCTCCGTTGAAGCTTATGTTTGACAGACTGAGAAGTACTGGGTTCTGGTGCAGAGGCTTGTCTCTGTGCAAGAATTTTTTCACCAGTTGTAGTTGGCGCATTCGAGGTAAGGGGGGACAGTACATCACTGGATTCATCTTGCCGTCTCCGCTTACACTCCAAGTAGTTGGAGAGATCTGTTGGAGGCTGCGGTCGCTTAAAAGAAACTGAGGTACTGGCTTCGGATGGAGGTTTGGTGAGGACACTCTCAATCTGAAATTTTTTAAAAATTCTTTAAATCAAGGGGAAAAAAAAGAGAAGGGGGTTGTAAATGACTAGTAGAAAACAAATTATAACATGTATACAAATACAGCACATGCTACAGTAAAAGAAAAAATTACCCTCCAAAAATAAAATACTTAAAGCTACTACTGTGCCTTTTTGAAGTACATGTATAACAAATAAAATTTAAGGAGCAACCAAATGCCTAATATTAAAATTTTAATATTAACAAACCTTGTGGAATACTTTCGAAGCTTAATTCACTTACCCTGGATGATGTGGGTGTAGTGTCTACCATTGAGAGACACCTTCTGATTGATGGACGACCCTCAAGAACTGTGGCACTACTTAACACCTGTGAGTAGGTTGTTTGGGGTTGAATTGGTGCTGAAAGAAGATTAGAAAATCCCAATGGCTGTTCTTCCTCATAGGGCATTTCTTTTAAAAGGTCCATCAGCATAGTATCTTCCTCGTCTGCTTTAGACATAGAAGAAAATTTTCTAAAAGGCTTGCGTCCCTCATTTGTACTGCATGATGAAGATATTGGTGTGGAAGTGGTCGTAGAAAACACAGTAGACACAGAAGTAACTGATGAAATGACAGAGATTGGCTTCACAGGAGAGAGTGGTTTCACAGGAGAGATTGTTTTACAGGAGAGACTGTTTTTACAAGAGAGATTGTTTTTACAGGAGAGATTGCTTTTACAGGAGAGATTGTTTTTACAAGAGAGATTGTTTTTACAGGAGAGATTGTTTTTACAAGAGAGATTGTTTTTACAGGAGAGATTGTTTTTACAGGAGAGACTGTTTTTACAGGAGAGACTGTTTTTACAGGAGAGACTGTTTTTACAGAAGAGACTGATTTTGCAGGAGAGATTAGTAAACGAGGCTTGGGAGGAGACAGGTCCAGGTTAAGTTTTCGTGGGGCACAACTGACTGGCACACTGAAACTGAAACACACATTGTTAGAATAAAAGAAAAACTGTGAAGACTTGAAATGGTTAAAAAAATTATCAATAATAATCACAGCTTAAGAGAATAACAATAAATCAATTATTCCATCATATTAAAAATAGTAGCAATAAATATCTCCTAGAAATTAATTGAATAATAGAGATCTTACCAGTCTTCCAGTTTCTTGCCACTCTCAGAGTATCCACTATCCTGTGAGTTTGTGTCAAAATTATCTGGTGTGGATGGCTTGTGTGGAGAAGTAAATAGTCTTTTGGAGGGTGACACCAACTGCAGGTTCTGACCAAAGGGAAAATAAAGCACAATATATCATCAGCACCAAAAATACACAAACTATAAAAGCCAATTTTGTTATTACATATCCGTGCAACATAAAACACATACTGGTCAAAATATACTACAAAATGAAAAAAATTACGAGTCTATTGAATATCAATACACAAGTAATCTTTGAAACCTTTGCTATACCAACCTTTTTAAGAGGACTAAAATTAAGATTTCTGTTGACAGTGTTTTGTACATCCTGAAAAGGGCTGGCACGAGTGCGAGGAGGTACAATGGCATTATGGGATGGAGAGTAGTATGGCGAGGGAAAGTTTTCTTTGTCGCGGGAGGGAAGCCGATGTGATGGGGAGATAGGAAGTTCCTCACACTGGCTAGAACCAGAGTCTGAACTATTGCTATTGTGCAACAAACCTGTAAATAGAAAAACATACTGTACTACTGCATATAACACCCTAAATTTTAAAATCATGCATCATTTCATTTACTGATTATGAAGTAATCCCTTTACAAATGTATAAATATTAACTGAGTGAATCTGACAAGAGGAGAAAAAAAGGGCTACAAAAAAAACTGATAAACCCTAGATCTCCTCTCATAAGTCATTAAAATGTTTGTTGCACATAGTATAAGGAATAATTCATATCTAAGAGCCACATGCCTCTCCCAGCACAGAAATGATATTCAATAGATTGGATGAAGGCACAAAATTGTTTTGGGCATCTTAAATCAGTAGTTACTTTGCTCTACTGGCTATACTTACAAAACAAACATTAAATATACAGACATAAAAAATTCATATAATATACTAATCTGAATTTACTACCAAAATCAGGAAATTCATATCTAACACAAAGTGAAACGTCCGACATATTCACATTTACTATAAGCATACTTAAGATATTGTGCTGTGCATAAAAATTAAAGGTCCCTGTGCTATCAATGTGCAATATGACACTTAAAAAACATCACAATCATTCTTATAGGCAAGCTTAAAAAAAAAGTCAATTTTTATTTAAAAAAACTAAACTGCAATACGACTGTATACAGCACATGTATACATACATACTGCACATGTGTCCACACACAATGCACATATGTATGACTATACACATGTTTAGCCTAAGTGTATTCAACATGTCTTTCTTACCCCCATGATTATACATGATCATGCAGAATATGTCAGTTGCGTTTTTAAAATTCTTCAATTTCAAAAAAAAAATCAGGGTCAAAGTTATATAACACAAGCTTACAGTGTCAAAAACCATATAATATATTTCAAATTGATCAGAAGTGCATACACTCCACTCCAATAGCTAATAATGTAATCTGAACAATGGTCAATGCAATTTAAAATTGCTTCAGTGTTAAATCTAATACAATGTAACCTAAAACCTATAACCTAAATCACAAAACTAAACCTATTGTACAAAAAATAACACGGAGAGAATATTTTTACAGAAAGTACATAAATAGGATGCAGAAAACATAAAATAAAGATATAAATTAAAGCTAATTTAGATAAATACTGGTAAAATTAAACTCATTTCAGACAGGTTTACACAGAACATCTGCAAAATATGTTAGCATGAATCCTCATTAAAACTGTAAACTCCACTACTGACAAGTCACTTTTGCTACCGTTACTGGCATGAACCAGTAGGCCTATTACAGGGCTTATGTTCTTCCTACCTGCAATTCACTATATTCCCTTTATATACCCTGTCCTTGTATTCGGTACTGTATATAATACAATTTTTATTTCTTTGCAAGTCTACATTGAGATTCTGTAGTTACAATAATGAGTTGCAGTGCAAAGAGAGCCACTATCATGCCATGGCATTATGGGCAGACTAAATTAATGGCTTACAGACTACTTAATACTAGAGAAATTGATCACAGTTTAAGCAGACAGCAAGTTACAGTCACGTTATAATCTGGGGATATTACACTGGGACAATTTGAAGGTATTTTGTGGGTTGTGTATATCAATAGTAAATCTTCTTCTTTCAACGTACCAGCCGTATCCCACCGAGGCAGGGTGGCCCAAAAGAAAAAACTGAAGTTTCTCCTTTTAAATTTAGTAATATATACAGGAGAAGGGGTTACTAGCCCCTTGCTCCCGGCATTTTAGTCGCCTCTTACGACACGCATGGCTTACAGAGGAAGAATTCTGTTCCATTTCCCCATGGAGATAAGGAAGTACAAAACGAATTAGCAGTGCAAATAGAGAAACCACTTATCATTGCATTGCATTATGTGAGACAAAATTAATAGGTACAAGACTACTTAATACTAGCATATTTGATGAACAGACAAAGAGACCAGCAATTACAATCAGTAAAATACTGGGTTTACACTACGGGCATTGAAGGTAGTACTTGGGTTGTGTTTAGTATATCAATAGTAAATATTTAAGTTATATTACTGGAATATAATATTGAGCATTGGTGAAAGTAGTTTACAGTATGAGAATGCTACAATATGGAGTAAGGCAGTATAGTTTTGTGCAGGTATTTATTCTACACTAGGATTAAGTATGAACTTAGGGTATTTAAATTTTGAAATGTTAAGATTTAGGTAATTGGGAGATTTTTGGTAAATTTAAGTATTTAGTCCTAGGTAGTAGGTTGGTAGACAGCAACCGCCCAGAGAGGTACTACCGTCCTGCCAAGTGAGTAAAATGAAAGCCTGTAATTGTTTTACATGATGGTAGGATTGCTGGTGTCCTTTTTTCTGTCTCAAGAACATGCAAGATTTCAGGTACGTCTTGCTACTTCTACTTACACTTAGGTCACACTACACATACATGTACATATATATACACACACCCCTCTGGGTTTTCTTCTATTTTCTTTCTAGTTCTTGTTCTTGTTTATTTTCTCTTATCTCCATGGGGAAGTGGAACAGAATTCTTCCTCCGTAAGCCATGTGTGTTGTAAGAGGCGACTAAAATGCCGGGAGCAAGGGGCTAGTAACCCCTTCTCCTGTATATATTACTAAATATAAAAGGAGAAACTTTCGTTTTTCCTTTTGGGCCACCCTGCCTCGGTGGGATACGGCCGGTGTGTTGAAAGAAAGAAGAAAGAAGTACAGTGAGTAATTGAATATTTTAGGTTTTAGGGGTAAGTAGATGTTTTTGAGAAAGTCTTAAACTGAAATTCAGACCAGATGACCTTAGTATTTACTGATAATATTCCAAATTTTGGGGCCCTTTATGTCATGATTTTATAGTGTGGATGTTGAGCCACGGTTTACGGACATCGAAAAGGTGATTTGTGTACTTGTGTAATGGTCGTGGCATCCTATTAAGGTATGGTGAGAAGCAATGAGTGATGGGTTTGTTTGAGCATAGTTCCTATGTAATGTAGTATGCTAGTTGAGGCTTCTTACCTTAAATATGATGCAAGAAAAATATACGAAACAGGAAGATGTTTTCTGGGGAAAAATAAACAGCAAAAACTGAAGAGTAATTTTACTCAAGTATAAACTTGGGTCACAGTCAGCAAAGTATTGCAAGACATAGAATGCTTTTGCAGTCAACTTTTGTTCTCGATGCTTTTAAAGAGGAAGAATGGAATGCAAATATTCTCACCGATGTTGCCAAGTCGTCAGTCAGTCAGTGAAAATTTTTGCCATTTATAAATTTAGTGAAACTATCAGGAAGAACTAGCCTAACGTAACTCACTACAGGAAGCCAACTGGTCTATGCTCGGCAGATCCACTTCACACCCACCCACATCCACTTATGTACTTATCCAACCTATTTTTAAAACTACCCAATGTTCTCATTTCAATTATGCTACCTGGCAGTTTGTTCCACTCATCCACAACTCTGCTGCCAAACCAATGCTTTCCTATAACCTTTGTAAATCTAAAATTTTCCAACTTTAACCCACTGCTGTCTCCTTTATTTATTCTTGTCTTCCATCTGTACACTTCAATCCCCTAATTTTATGCCATTCCAAAGTGCAAATTCAGTGCCCTAAATCTATTTATGTCCACTCTAACATGGAAACCTGAACTGACAGAACCTAAATGAGGCCTTATCAAGGATAAAGTTCAAGTATAACCTGAGAACTTCTGTTATTTATATTTTTTGATAAGCCAAGAATTCTATTATTTTTATTGCAAATACTTAATAGATTGTCTTAGTTTACTGCTAACTAGGGCTTCGAAGACTTTTTTTGCATTTTAGACTGAAGTCTACATTTTTTAGCTTTACAAGTGCCATGGTAATTTTCTTTTCCTAGGCTTAGATCCTTACATTTGTCCACAAAGAACTGCATTCTCTAACCACTGCATCAACCTTCCCTGATCTTCCTGTTGAGCTCTCATCAGAATTTAATCTAAACATAAATTAGACTGATTATATTTAATTATATTTTGCTAAATCACAAAACCTGTCACCTGGGTAACTTGTTGACACTGTTAACTTCGCCCAAGAACACTAATGAAACCTGTACAGTGAGCAGTATTTCTGAACCACCATTACCACTACCTCTATTCTGACAGGACCAGCCTGCTGAGCAGGCAAAACGTCTCTTCTTTCTACTGGACAAATACTGTTGTACAAGAATGGTATACAATACCGACAAGATGAAGATTTAAGACACACGTGCAACATCTGGGTGTCTTTATTGCTGACGTTTTGCCATCCAGTCCCTAAGGCTGAGGGACTGATTGCCTCATCTTTTGTATATAGTTTTACTGCCTTCAAATTATGTCCTAGAATCTGTATTGACAAAGCCACTTGATGGCGAAATGTCTACAATAAAGACACCCAGATGTTGCGCATGTCTAAATAGACAAATAATTCTTATCTCAGTATACAGCACAACATATAGGTGTTACGGATCACACATTTAATACTTTATGTAGCTTTAACCTAGGGTAACCCAATAAAGTTAATTATTATTATTATAATCATTAGGGGGCGCTAAACCCATAGGATTATACAGAGCCTGTGGGGGGGGGGGGGATGGAAGGCATTCAGGCTCAACTGAAGGAACTGAAGCACAGATCCAATTCCCTAGACCAAGAGCCCCTCACCAGCGTCAAGGAACCTGCCTTTGAAGGGGATCAACAAAGTTAAACAACCTGCCTTATTTGCTTGACTCGACCTTTGCAATAACTTTATTCAGGTATACACAAAAACAGTTACATAGATTGACTCACGAAATCGTAATGACACGATTGCAAACAAATCATACCATGTGCAACAGTTAGGTATCTTTATTTTGAAACGTTTCGCCTACACAGTAGGCTTCTTCAGTCGATGTACTCAGTCGAGTACAGAAAAGTTGATAGAAGCAGAAGAGACTTGAAGACGATGTAATCAGTCCATCACCCTTAAAGATTTGAGGGACTGACCACCTCAAATCTTTAAGGGTGATGGACTGATTACATCGTCTTCAAGTCTCTTCTGCTTCTATCAACTTTTCTGTACTCGACTGAAGAAGCCTACTGTGTAGGCGAAACGTTTCAAAATAAAGATACCTAACTGTTGCATATGTGTCTTACCTAACAACCTGTCGGTATTTTATACCATTTTAATGTTCAAATCATACCATACTGATCGCGGGTTATTATCATCATCAAAAAGAAGCGCTAAACTACAAGGGCTATACAGCATCGCGGGTTCTATCCCACCCGTGGTATGGTTAGTTACATAGATTATCATACATAGCATCATATACAAAACAACCACTGTGAAAGAACTGTGAAATTCGAAGCGCTTTCGTGACTTCTCACATTATCAAGGAACACAAAACTTGGAATTTCACTAGTCTTTCACAGTGGTTGTTTTGCATATTCTGATATCACCTGTTTACTGTGATCTTATTGCATAGCATCACATGTGTAGTGTATAAAGGGACTTACTTGAGCAGTGTAGAGGTGAGGTGTCATGGCAGGACTGTGGAGTGTCAGACAAGTTAGAGGAGAGTGAGAGCTTCCTCCTAGGTGTGTGAGTGATGGAGACACCATGATGGAGGGTAGCAGCTAGGTTAGACATGGGTGACAGGTCACCACACATCTCAGAAGATGAACCTCTGAACACACTCCTGTACAACACCTCCCTGCTGCTGCTGCTGCTGCTCATGGCTGCTGCCTCTTCCTCCTCTACCTGTAGCAACACACACCTTAAACTCTCAAAATTCTTGTAATAGTCTGACGGTCAGGTTTGGGGGAATGTTTCAAGTGGAGTCACAATGTACGTCACACTGTGTATGTTACTGTACGTCACACTGTACGTCACTACGTCACAGTGTACGTCACACTGTGCATGTTACTGTACGTCACACTGTGCATGTTACTGTACGTCACACTGTTACTGTGCGTCATACTGTGTACGTCACACTACGTTACACTGTGTACGTCACACTGTGTAAGTTACTGTACGTTACACTGTGTACGTCACACTGTAAGTTACTGTACGTTACACTGTGTACGTCACTGTACGTCACATTGTGTACGTTAACTGTACGTTACACTGTGTACGTATATTGATCATTAATATTTTAGTTAAACTTGGAGGGGGGAGGGGGTGTTAAACACACTGACTGACGTAACACTTCTAAGTTACGCTGATAAACCGTCACAAATTTACTGTGACAAACTTAAGAAACACTGCCAGAAAATTACGTTCAAAACATACTAGTAACAGTTCAAAACATCGCCAAGACACGTTCAAAACGTTGCATGAGCAACAACCTTCACGTAACATTAAAATTCATCAGTAATGTATTAAATGACAAGAAAATAATAATTATTAATGGATGTCCACCATTATATTAACTTTAGTAATATTATATACAGCTTAATGGAGGACAAATATGGGTGAGAATTAATCACTAAAAATCACAATATTTCTCAGTAAATACGAGTTTATAAATAATTTAATGGGTGATTTAGACCCCCATGACACTCAAATATTTACCTTGTGATTAAAATATAATTTTCAATTTAGTATCTTTAGTTTCAGGAATTATTTTAAACACTGCACTCTGATAGAAATAGCCTTAGCAATTCGAGTGTGGCTCCATGATGGTAAGATCCTCGTTATGTGTGTATAGTGGTGTTAGTGAGTGGGAGTGAGCGACCACGTCCTCCCTCCCCGAGCTGTGGCCAGACACTGTGGACGCCGGCCACACACCTCGCCCCTATAACCACCTAACTCGCTTTGGTGACGAGATCCACAACACTTATTCCATCTTACCAAGCCACTATGTGCATTTAACGTCTTTTTGACTATACATAAACAAATGTAATAATACATAGCTAGTCCAGGTAACAGAATTTTAACGTTTGGCTCAGCGATTTTATCGAAAATTAGTAAAAGTATTTTGTAGCGAGCATCACTGGTACTGTCGTCTGTCAACTCTCATGCGTTCCAGCATTTGTAGGCACAATAATTATGATTCCTCACGAAAATTGCAATATATCTGGCACACGCAAATTTCCAGAGCATACCTCTCTTATAACACACAGGAATCCCAAAGGCATTCTCCGTTCAGTAACAAGAACAATATATCCAGCAGGAGGCAGTAGTCACCAGCACCGTGTACACTGAAATGCGTTCTAAGGTGCTCCGCCTGGATGTAAATAATGGAGGTGGGCGAGACTTGCTAGCATCTCATTGGTCGACGACCACAACCAGGCGGGACCTTCAATACTACGCCCGAGTTTCACTATTAACTTACCCATATAGGGAATCATATTAATAGTAACCTTCATCCAAATTAACTGCAAGACTGTCTTTATTGACACCCTCACACATGCTGTTCAATGGTTGAAATTAACAATTCTGTCACATAGAAGTGTTAAATTATGCAGATTTAACTTTGAGATAATCCACCCAAGTCAGTGTAACTTTCCACTGGTGTTCTCATGGATAAATAACCCACAACTGACCTAAATTGTTGTACAAATCTGGATTGTTCAACTTCTCTAGCACTGACCACTCCATAAGCACAAATTAGACATGATATTGAGGTAATCAGTCCCTCAACCTGGAGTCGATGTGTTCATCCATCAATCTTGATGGACTGAACACATCGACTCCAGGTTGAGGGACTGATTACCTCATACTCCTCCTCTCCTTACGCCTTCCTCTTTGTATTGGACTGATGAAGCCACTGTGTGGCGAAACGTTTCCTGAATAAAGATTCCCATATGCTGCATAAGTGTCTCAATCTTCAATTATTTTTTTGTACGAATGGTATATAATACCGACAAGATGAGAGTAAGACACATGTGCAACATCTGGGTATCTTTATTGTAGACGTTTCGCCATCCAGTGGCTTTATCAATACAAATTCTAGGACATAACTTGAAAACAGTAGAACTATGTACAGAAGATGAGGTAATCAGTCCCTCAACCTAGGAGTAGGTGCGAACAGCACCATAGTCGTAAGCAGTATAAAGTGATCTTTCATTGACGACGTTTCGCCCACACAGTGGACTTAATCAAGTCACCAATATATATATATATATATATATATATATATATATATATATATATATATATATATATATATATATATATAATATATATAATATATATATATATAAATATATTATATAATATATATATATATATAATATATAATATATTTGTATATATTTCATAATCGCAATGTGAGGAATTCTATAAATTATTTTTTTTTTATTATCACACCAGCCGATTCCCACCAAGGCAGGGTGGCCCGAAAAAGAAAAACTTTCACCATCATTCACTCCATCACTGTCTTGCCAGAAGGGTGCTTTACACTACAGTTTTTAAACTGCAACATTAACACCCCTCCTTCAGAGTGCAGGCACTGTACTTCCCATCTCCAGGACTCAAGTCCGGCCTGCCGGTTTCCCTGAATCCCTTCATAAATGTTACTTTGCTCACACTCCAACAGCACGTCAAGTATTAAAAACCATTTGTCTCCATTCACTCCTATCAAACACGCTCACGCATGCCTGCTGGAAGTCCAAGCCCCTCGCACACAAAACCTCCTTTACCCCCTCCCTCCAACCCTTCCTAGGCCGACCCCTACCCCGCCTTCCTTCCACTACAGACTGATACACTCTTGAAGTCATTCTGTTTCGCTCCATTCTCTCTACATGTCCGAACCACCTCAACAACCCTTCCTCAGCCCTCTGGACAACTTGAATTATCGCGGGTTAAATCTACATGTGTATCACATGTACATAACAAGGTATATAATTGTGTTCACTGCAATCGATGCATAAATGTGTGTCGCAGTTCTGCCGCTATAATGTCAAGTTAATCTGAATAGATCCGTTAGGAGGATGGATTGTGAAGAACCTGTCTAGTATGGGCCAGCAGGCCTGTTGCAGTGTTCCTCCTTTCTTATGTTCAGACCGATTGTGGGAATAAAGATTAGCAGGCAACAAAAATCTACGACTGTAGGAGCACTGCAGGATTCCTGCTGGTAGGCAGCACTGCAGGAGGCCTGCTGGTAGGCAGCACTGCAGGAGGCCTGCTGGTCCATGGTAGGCAGAACCGAGATCAACCTTCCTGTGTGGATAAAACTGAATACAATACTGACAAGTTGATTAAACATGTATATAACAGTTAGGTATCTTTATTCCGAAACATTTCGCCTACACAGTAGGTTTCTTCAGTCAAATACCGAGGCAATAGGCGTGGTAGCGAAGTAAAGATGATGTAATTAGTCTAACAAACTTGAAGGAAAAGTGTCTGAGGTGGTCAGTCCCTCACTAACCAATCGAACACAAAGATTAGTAGTCAAAAGAGTTAAATCAGAGGCTGCCATAGTGAAGAGCTCAGTTCCACAAGGCACAGTACTCGCCCCCATCCTGTTCCTCATCCTCATATCAGACATACAGATATATACATCACAGCACCGTATCATCCTTTGCGGATGATACTAGGATCTGCATGAGGCTGTCATCTGCTGAGGACGCGGTTAACCTCCAAGAAAATATAAACAAAGTTTTCCAGTGGGCAACGGTAAACAATATGATGTTCAATGAGGACAAATTCCAACTACTCCGTTATGGAAAACTGGAGGAGATAATAACTAGAACAGAGTATACTACAAACTCTGATCATACAATAGAGCGGAAAAATAATGTAAGGGACCTGGGAGTAGCCACAATAAGATTCATCCAATTAGGTATATTTCTACACCATAGGAAGGTTAGCATAGGCACCACTGTGACCACAAATGCAAATTTTTACAGACGAATCTCCAGCTAGCGTGGCAGTGACGAACTCTAGCTCCAGTCCCCTCAAAGCCGTCAACATGACTCACGAAATCGTAATGACACGATTGCAAACAAACCATACCACGGACGGGGATAGAACCCGCGATCAGAGAAATATACCTAGTTGGATCAATCTTATTGCTAGCTGGTCCAGTGGCTAACGCGACGGTCTGGAGCTTTGAGACTCTCTGATCGCGGGTTCTATCCCCGTCAGTGGTATGGTTTGTTTGCAATCGTGTCATTACGATTTCGTGAGTCAAGTACCTTAACTACTGGGAACGCTTGGAAGCACTTGACTTGTACTCGTTGGAACGCAGGAGAGAGAGATGTATCATAATCTACACTTGGAAAATCCTGGAAGGAATGGTCCCGAATCTGCACACAGAAATTACTCCCTACGAAAGTAAAAGACTGGGCAGGCGATGCAAAATACCCCCAATTACACTTAGAGAAAACACCATAAGTGTCCGGGGCCCGAAACTGTTCAACAGCCTCCCATCAAGCATAAGAGGAATTACCAATAGACCCCTGGCTGCCTTCAAGAGGGAGCTGGACAGATACCTAAAGTCAGTGCCGGATCAGCCGGGCTGTGGTTCGTACGTTGGACTGCGTGCGGCCAGCAGTAACAGCGTGGTTGATCAGGCATTGATGCATCGGGAGGCCTGGTCGTGGACCGGGCCGCGGGGGCGTTGTTCCCCGGATAACCTCCAGGTAGCCTGAAGAAGTGTTCAGCTCCATGGTCTGGAACAAGGTGGTCAGTCCCTCAGCCTGGATAATTGTTCAGCTCCATGGTCTGGAACAAGGTGGTCAGTCCCTCAGTCTGGATAATTGTTCAGCTCCATGGTCTGGAACAAGGTGGTCAGTCCCTCAGCCTGGAGAAGTGTTCAGCTCCATGTTCTGGAACAAGGTGGTCAGTCCCTCAGCCTGGAGAAGAGCATTGTTCCATAGTATGAAACAATATGGAGATGAAGTGACAGGATGGAGCTTTTTATAGCGCCAAGAGGTGAGACGTAGGCCACTAGGAGAGGTAAGAACTCAGATGCTGAGAGGTCAGGTCCCTCTCAAATCCAGCCGTTCTCACTAGTGGAAGTTGTCGAAGTTGATTGCAGGTCTGTACCAAGATACCCTTGTGTTGCAGTGTCTGACAGATTGAACATTAAAATGGTATAAAATACCGACAGGTTGTTAGGTAAGACACATATGCAACAGTTAGGTATCTTTATTTCGAAACGTTTCGCCTACACAGTAGGCTTCTTCAGTCGAGTACAGAAAAGTTGATAGAAGCAGAAGATACTTGAAGACGATGTAATCAGTCCATCACCCTTAAAGTTCATTCTGTCAGACACTGCAACACAAGGGTATCTTGGTACAGACCGTCAACTTCGACAACCTCTACTAGTGAGAACGGCTGGGTTTGAGAGGGACCTGCCCTCCCAAAGCAACCTACGTCTCACCTCCTGGCACTATATAAGGCTCCATCCTGTCACTTCAACTTCATATTGTTTCAGACAACGGAACAATCCTTTTCTCCAGACTGAGGGACTGACCACCTCAAAACTTTAAGGGTGATGGACTGATTACATCGTCTTCAAGTATCTTCTGCTTCTATCAACTTTTCTGTACTCGACTGAAGAAGCCTACTGTGTAGGCGAAACGTTTCGAAATAAAGATACCTAACTGTTGCATATGTGTCTTACCTAACTTACCAGTGAGTTGCTTTTAACCTCAGCAGGTGACCCAGCGCCAGGGTTGACCCAGTGCCAGGGCTGACCTAGTGGCAGGGCTGACCCAGTGCCAGGGCTGACCCAGTGCCAGGGTTGACCCAGTGCCAGGGCTGACCCAGTGCCAGGGCTGACCCAGTGCCAGGGTTGACCCAGTGCCAGGGTTGACCCAGTGCCAGGGTTGACCCAGTGCCAGGGTTGACCCAGTGCCAGGGTTGACCCAGTGCCAGGGCTGACCCAGTGCCAGGGCTGACCCAGTGCCAGGGCTGACCCAGTGTCAGGGTTGACCCAGTGCCAGGTTGACCCAGTGCCAGGCTGACCCAGTGCAGGTTGACCCAGTCCAGGGTTGACCCAGTGCCAGGGCTGACCCAGTGCCAGGGTTGACCAAATGCCAGGGCTGACCCAGTGCCAGGGTTGGCCTAGTGCCAGGGCTGACCCAGTGCCGGGCTGACCTAATGTCACAAGTGTTTGATATAAGGTAATAGCAAAAGTTTGCACTCGACTAAGACATTAGGTTAGGTAAGAGTCTTCAGGAAACAAGACAAATGGTTCCTAACGTGGGTCTTAAGCCACATGCTGACCCGCACCTGGAGCTTTTGGTCATCTGACCGAGGCCTTCCACTGGCTTACCCGTCCACACCCCTTAAAATTAAGATATCATTTGATGACCCATTTACCTCTTCAGTATTGTATTGATACTGGTGTTGATGTGTACCGAGGGTTGCTGTGGTGTATACCAGGCTGCTCTCTCGTAAATAACTGTTGTCACAGTGCCTTAATAATCGTCTCATGGCTGCCACAGAGACAAGAACCTGCCTTGAACGTCTATGAAGAGATTGTGTGAGAGCTTGCCAGTAACATCCTTGCCTGGTGCCTCTTACAAGAGCTCGGTACAGATGCTGTAGGATTTGCCGAGTGATTGTCCAGCTTCAGTTCGGTCCTGACACCACCATGGACGCTCAAGACCGACAATTTTTCTGCTTCACCACCACACACAGTTAAAATAGCGATTAAAACTTGAATTTAAAAAGATATTAAAAGGTTAACTGGCACTTAAAAGTTCACTAGAACATCGTACACACTCAAAGAGTTAACACTAGTTTTGCTCATAAATACACAACACCACTCACTGCAGTTCCTGGTTTTACACTGACATAAAATTAGAGCTGGGAAATGTGTGGAAGGCAAGAAGGGAAACTGTCGAAATACACTAGTATCCCCTGGGTGATGGTTTTCATGACGAAGTTACCAAATTGAGATACTTACATCGCAGTTTGGCCACTGTCCACGAGATGGCGGTATAATGGCTACCATTTCAAGGCTACCAGACTGTTTAAACAATATGTCTACGGCTAACCTGGATTAAGATGACGCACAATAATTTAACATAGACACTTATTAAAAAAATAATTAACATCTCGTGATAGATTTATAGCGTGTCAACTGCGCGTGCATCAGGCTGCAAATCATATTTACATACATAAGCAGTCAAGAATGTTGCAGTTCAAGGAAATAAGAATTAAGAATATAAAAACAAAACAAAACAAACAAAAAAAATATAAAAAAGGAGGAACACTGCAGTAGGCCTGATGGCCCATACTAGGCAGGTTTTTCATAAATCCAACCCACTAACAAAATAAATGCTACAGAAACAATAAGCTTTAATAATTCTGAAGATGAATGGTTTAATAATTCTATTTACTCATTACACAAGTCCCACTCAAATCCAACCCCTCCCACTCATGTATTTATCCAACCTAAATTTGAAACTACCCAAAGTCCTAGCCTCAATAACCCAACTAGGTAGACTGTTCCACTCATCTACTACCCTATTTCCAAACCAATACTTTCCTATGTCCTTTCTAAATCTAAACTTATCTAATTTAAATCCATTACTGCGGGTTCTCTCTTGGAGAGACATCCTCAAGACCTTGTTAATATCCCCTTTATTAATACCTATCTTCCACTTATACACTTCGATCAGGTCTCCCCTCATTCTTCGTCTAACAAGTGAATGTAACTTAAGAGTCTTCAATCTTTCTTCATAAGGAAGATTTCTAATGCTATGTATTAATTTAGTCATCCTACGCTGAATGTTTTCTAACGAATTTATGTCCATTCTGTAATATGGAGACCAGAACTGAGCTGCATAATCTAGGTGAGGCCTTACTAATGATGTATAAAGCTGCAGTATGACCTCTGGACTTCTGTTGCTTACACTTCTTGATATAAATCCCAGTAATCTATTTGCCTTATTACGTACGTTTAGGCATTGCTGTCTTGGTTTAAGGTTGCTGCTTACCATAACCCCCAAGTCCTTTTCGCAATCTGTATGGCTAAGTTCTACATTATTAAGCTGGTAGGTGCTAGGGTTATGAACATTCCCGAGCTTTAGAACTTTACATTTATCTACATTGAACTGCATCTGCCACTTTTCTGACCATGAACTTAGTTTGTCTAAATCCTCCTGAAGTTCAGTGACATCTACGTTTGAATCAATTATCCTTCCTATCTTTGTGTCATCGGCGAATTTGCTCATGTCACTAGCAATTACCTCATCAAGGTCACTGATATGTATTATATAAAACAACGGGCCTACGACTGATCCCTGTGGAACGCCACTTGTTATAGATCCCCACTCTCTGCTTCCTATTAGTGAGCCATGACTCGATCCATGACAGCACTTTTCCCCCAATGCCATGAGCTGCCACTTTTTTTAAGTCTCTGGTGCGGTACTGTATCAAAAGCCTTACTAAAATCTAAATAAACAATATTGAATTCTTTATCAAGATCAATAGCCACAAAAACTTTACTGAAGAAAGTCAATAAATTAGGTAGGCAGGAACGGCCCCTCGTGAATCCATGTTGAGTATTATTAATCAAATTACACTTATCGAGATGGCTTCTTATAATATCAGCTACAACCGACGCTAGTAATTTGCCTACAATTGAGGTTAGGCTTATTGGGCGGTAATTTGACGGTAACAACTTGTCCCCTGCCTTAAAAATAGGAATTACTTAGCCATCTTCACCTGTTTGAAGAGATAAATTAAAAACATTAGTCAATGGTTCACAGAGTTCCATTTTTCACTCCTTAAGAATCCTTGAAAAAAGTTCATCAGGGCTCGGGGATTTATTTTGCTTTAATTTGTCTATCTGTTTGAATGTCGTGGGGGTTCGGAAGAAGATATGATGGTTGAAGATAAACACACTTGTGGATGGTAACACTATATATTGTCAGACTGTGGTAAGGGAGGCCCAGCCTGCCTTGTTGCCTGTTGTAGACCTATGTGTGGATGAGGAAGTTACAGAGGTACTCACGCACACATGCGCATCACGTGACGTCACACAAACTGGTCCCTAGGCCTAGCAAAAGGGGTCGTGTATATAAAACATATGGATGGTGCTAACTGTGGTACTCAGATAAGTTATACAACACATGTAAGGGGATCAGCAACTATGCTGACATGAACAATATTCTTAGTAATAATAACAAATCAGAGCCCAGCTAATAACAAACTTGTAAGTTACAACGAAGCTCAGAGTAAGTTAATAATATTCACACAACACTTATGTACAGTTCGGGACATTTATTAAAAGAAACGTTTCGCTACGAGTTTCTTCGTCAGTCCTTTTTCCACAACAAGACTCACGAAATCGTAATGACACGATTGCAAACCAACCATACCACGGGTGGGGTTAGAACCCGCAATCAGAGAGTCGTAAAACTCCAGACCGACGCGTTAGCCTCTGGACCAGCTGACTAAAATAAGATTCATCCAACTAAATATATTTATACACTTTAGGAAAGTTCCTAAGGTGTATAAATATACCTAGTTGTATGAATCATACTGGTGCCAACTGGCCCAGTGGCTAACACGTCGGTCTGTTGTTTTGAGACTCTATGATCACGGGTTCTAACCCCGCCCGTGGTATGGTTTCTTTATCCACAACTTGTGGGTATCACCACACCATTTCTCAGTGTTCACAAGCCGTTGATAACCCGTGGTTGGCTCATCCATCAGTAGCTCTCAGCTCTACCCTCTTATCTAAATGGTGAGGGAGGCTGAGGGGGACATGATGTATTTATCAACTTACTGTTATCAGCTGCGAGAACGCGTCCTACTGAGCACCAACGCTTAATGGAGGTGAACATCAAAATGGTATACAATACCGACAGGTTGTTAGGTAAGACACATATGCAACAGTTAGACAACTTTATTCCGAAACGTTTCGCCTACACAGTAGGCTTCTTCAGTCGAATACAGAAAGTAGGCAGGAACAGTAGAGATGTGAAGACGATGTAATCAGTCCATCACCCTTAAAGTCGTAGAATTTGAGGTTGTCAGTCCCTCGGCCTGGAGAAGTTCAGTTCCATAGTCAGGGACTGACAACCTCAAATTCTACGACTTTAAGGGTGATGGACTGATTACATCGTCTTCACATCTCTACTGTTCCTGCCTACTTTCTGTATTCGACTGAAGAAGCCTACTGTGTAGGCGAAACGTTTCGGAATAAAGTTGTCTAACTGTTGCATATGTGTCTTACCTAACAGCTTATTGGAGGTATAAATGAGAAAGAGTCTTCAATATTTTTTTTCTTTGCCTGGGTAAGATAGAATGAAATTGCTGAGGATTTCACTAAACCCACAACACTGTACTTTACTGAAGAGTTCTTTAATGAGAGTTGGGGTTTCCGTAAGTCGATAACCAGAAGAACTGGGTAGTCAGTTCTTTCAAGTGCTGTGTACATTATTTTCAGCATTTAAACCTTGCCTTTATTTGTGTCGTTTCGAGTTCGTGAAGTCAAGCTGCCCCGAGTCCAGAATAATGTATTTAAGGAAGACTGAAAGTCACAGTTATCTAGGTGGAGCAAGCCACTAGCAACATTCACTAAGGAGAAGCTTAGTTAAGACGTGACAATGGTCTGGGACCGATACGTGATCTTAACGTGGATCACTAAGTTATGTTTCTGGAGACCAAAAATTCCATCTGATGAATGATGAACATTTAGGGAGGGATTGTGACTGACTCTTGTACGTGCACTCTTCCCACTTTCCGTCTCCTCTCCCTAAGCCCCTTATCCTCTCATTCTTCTCTCCTCTCCTCTCACCTTACCTTGCTTTATCTGCTGGTATCGTACACAGCTGATAAGACACCAGCTGTGTGGTGGAGATAAACGCTCCCCTGGGCTTCTGTGTGTGTGTGTGTGTGTGTGTGTGTGTGTGTGTGTGTGTGTGTATCTGATTACCTTTTTCTGATATCTTATTTGTGATTAATTGCTTGTTATAACCTAAAAGTGATTAAGTAATGGAATCTTAGAGTTGATTTCACCAATATCTCTAGTGAATAATTGCTTATGATGTGCTATTTGTGATCATCTTGGGAGGGTAAGAGTGTTTGGGGTGAGGAAGATAAGGGTGTTTGAGGTGAGGAAGATAAAGGTGTTTGAGATGAGGAAGATAAGGGTGTTTGAAGTGAGGAAGATAAAGGTGTTTGAGGTGAGGAAGATAAGGGTGTTTTGAGTGAGGAAGATAAAGGTGTTTGAGGTGAGGAAGATAAGGGTGTTTGAGGGAGGAAGATAAGGGTGTTGGGTGAGGAAGATAAGGTGTTTAAGGGGTGAGGAAGATAAGGTGTTTGAGGTGAGGAAGATAGGGTGTTTGAGGTGAGGAAGATAAGGGTGTTTGAGGTGAGGAAGATAAGGGTGTTTGAGGTGAGGAAGATAAAGGTGTTTGAGGTGAGGAAGATAAGGGTGTTTGAGGTGAGGAAGATAAGGGTGTTTGGGTGAGGAAGATAAGGGTGTTTGGGTGAGGAAGATAAGGGTGTTTGGGGTGAGGAAGATAAAGGGGTTTGGGTGAGGAAGATAAGGGTGTTTGAGGTGAGGAAGATAAGGGTGTTTGAGGTGAGGAAGATAAGGTGTTTGGGGTGAGGAAGATAAGGTGTTTGGAGGTGAGGAAGATAAGGTGTTTGGGGTGAGGAGATAAAGGTGTTTGGGTGAGGAAGATAGAGGTGTTTGAGGTGAGGAAGATAGGGTGTTTGGGTGAGGAAGAAAAGGGTGTTTGGGGTGAGGAAGATAAAGGTGTTTGGGTGGGAGATAGGTGTTGGTGAGGAAGATAGGGTGTTTGAGGTGAGG